TTTTTTTTTCCTCTTTGAGGGGCTGAGGCACCAGGTGAGTCAGAGAGTAGAAATGGGTGTTCAGTGCTTCTAAAAAGCAGTTAGTTAGGGCCAGTTAATTAGGTCCTTAAGTATAAGTTTTTAATGCAATTGTATTACATAATTTGATCACGGCTTTTATTTGCTCTGTTGTGAGTGCTAAAGATCACTTATGCTCATAGTAGAAAATCAATGTCACTAGAGCTTGAAAAGTGTGCCTTTGTGTGCTAATACAGTTAACCTCCTTAGTTAAACTCTTTTGTCATGCTTCCTCTTTCATTTTTGAAGACTTAAAATTGCATACTACTTACAGCCTACTTGTACTTGATTATGGTATTTAATTAATAGTTGGATCAAACAGGTAGACCTGACCACACTGTGACATGCAGCAGCATCCGAATTCAGCCTTGTTTCTTGCGGAAGAAACAGAGACTATAAAAGGGGGTAGGCAGTTCTTTTGGGTTTGCCTGTTGGTCAGGGAAGCCTGGGGCTGTGCATGTGTCGCTGAAGCAGCAGCACCGCTGAGATGCAGCAGCTAGTACTGGAAATCGTCAGGTTGAGTTCTCTACTGCTGCTTAAATCATAGCAAGTTTGATATCCAAGACTTCTGCTTCAGCAGCATCAGGCTTGGACTTTTATCTTTACTCTTCTGTCCCCCATTTCCTGTCATTTTGAAAGATCCTAAAACCTGGATTGCATTACAGTTTTAAAATAGTATTCTCAGATTTGGGGTTCCTGAGTCATACTGAAGGGGAGAGTCAACAATTGCCTGATAAAAGTAATGTTTCAGATTAAACATATGCCATATGTCATTTTTTTCCCCTGGGTTACGCTCCCTATATGAAAACTTCTGACCTGCACCGTCTTTAGCAAAACACTCAAAAACTTGAAATAAAGGCATGTGATACAGATGTATCAGAAAGCATGTTCTTAGAGCCTACTCTACAATATTGTACAGTGGAGCGCCTGCTCTGTTGTAGCCTGTGCTGTTAAGTGACTGATACTGAATTGAGTTTATAGTATCCATGTATGTGGTTACTAGGTGGCAAAACACACAACATGGCAGTTTCCAATATAACCTAGGATTTTCAGGGAGGTGGAGGAGTCTGTTGTTTGTATTCTAAAGCCATTAATTTAAATGCACTTAAAGCAATAGTTTTGTTGATCGCGGCTAATACAAATGCAGTTTAGTCTCAAATTAAAAATGAAAAGTAGCTAATATTTTCTGGAGAGATTGTGGTTTCCATACTTTATACATCTCCTCTGCATGTCCTCAAAAATTAGCCACACAGGTTAGAACCTACCTCAAGAAGTAAGGTCAAAGGACATAGAAAAGAGAAATAGCTCAGAAATAACATACAAGGAGATCAGAGTTAGAGATGTTCCCAGCTCTACCTACTGCAACAAAAACTTGTAAAAAGGGCTGTCTTGCCAAGAAGCCTAATTTCTTCAGTAACATTCTCCAAGGGCTGTGGCCAGTATTATCAAGACTTTTGATTTTTGGTTGTTCAGCAGAACTTTAGAAAGAAGATTAAGTATAATAGTACACGAGTAACTAAATGAAATGTAAATTAAATTAAATAGTCTGATGCTGCTTATGTGTTTGTACTTGGAGGGAGAACACTATACCCGTGAAGTATTAACCATCTTTTAATGAGACTGTGTGTTAGTGTAGTTCAACAGAACTAATTGGTTCTTGGCACCGTCTTCTGTGTTTTAATGCAATAAGTTACTTTTCATACTTAGTTTCATTACCTTAATAAACCTTATATGGATAAATACATTTTGTCTGGTATTTGACTCGTGTAACTGTTGCATACTAATTAATTGTGTCAAGGTAAGGCTAATTCACTTTGGGAAAAGAGCTTAATTTGCACTCTTATATTGAATGTACATTATCTCTAGTTTTCGCTAAACAACCACTTTAGGGTCTAATAAATTAGTGCCCAATAAATGCATCATAAATCTATCATTGTAAATAGCTGTCCTCATTACAGTGTCCATCCAGCAACTGTGGCACAAAAGCATTATCTGCAATGAAAGACACATTCAAAAGGGGCTCTATTGCCTCTGTCAGTAGTAGGAGGTAGAAATTCTATTATCAGTGTATTGATTCCAATCCTGTAATGTGCTTTTAGATCCCATTAAACTATTGTCAAAGTGCATTCACCAGAAGTTGAAAAACGTACTTAATAATTTGCACATTAGACCTGCTAATTAGGGGATCTATGCCATCAACCTTATCTTCCAACCCCAAATAGCTTTAGCTTTTGATAAAGAACTGTCTAATGCAGTGATACCAGCCTAGACTTGTTGGATCTGCTGCATAAAATGTTGGCCAGTAAAAAAGTCTCAAACAAATGTCAGCCTATAGTTACAGGTGCCTTCAAGTAGCTGTGTATATTGATTTTATTTTTCCTTTTTATCTTGTAGATTAGATGGTGATAAAATGGTTATAAAATGCTTATAATAAGTGTAAGGTTAACAAATTTTAAGAAAATACCTCCTCGTTTCAGACCTCCCTCATTCCCTCCCTCCTCGCTCAGTGAGGAAGGTGAGTTTTGTGGCTGCCCAAGGGAGGAGAGGAAGATTCAAATGGGTATTCCTCTTCCTTCAAAAATGTTAGATTATGTACTCCAGGGAGTCTTCTCAAACATTGATGCTTGACATTACATGGATCAGAATGGTTGAGTATGAGAAGACTCCATAAATAAAGTGTAGAAGCACAAATCCACAGAAGAGCACTATAATATATATGGCAGCAGTTTCTGTGAAATCCATGGACTACAGAAGTTGGTGTCAGGACACCTTCTTTGGCTTTTTAGAACACTTGTGAATGCCATTGCTGTTACTGAAAATACATTGACTCACCAAAGGAGAGTTCTTTGCCTTTAAAGTTCCGTGAGAGAAAATTTTGAAGCCTTAAAAGTAATGCTGAAAGTTTCTGTCTTGGTAACTTCTTTACAGTGGCTGAGATGAATTATTTTTTTAGGGTTTTCAGAAGCAAAATATTTAAGTTGAAGCTGATCCTTCTCAGGCAGATTTATAACACGGCAAATGCATTCTTAGGCATTCAAATGCAATCTCCTACCTGGAACTCCTGCCTGAACATCTGGAAGGCAGATGACAGGGAAAGAAAGAAAGCCTTTATCTACTACTTCTTTTCAGACTGGGGAGAAACTTTCGGGTGATGTGAACAAAAGTGATCAGAGTCCAAGAGAAAAGATAAAACATTTTCATCTGTCCTAAAACCAAGTTTGTAAGAGTTCTTGACTATCTATGAGGGTGCTTTTTGAAATTGCATTGGAGATATGTCTTATGTCTTCATACACAAAAAAAGAATACCTACATGCCAAGTCTCTTATTCTTTCCTAAAATATTTCCCACTTTACCCTCTAAATATTTTCTTTTTCTCCATTATCCTGGGAAGCAGCTGCCACTGCCAGATCTGTGTGAGCAGCAGCTAGCATTAAGTTTGTCTGCCAACAGAGACTTGCCGTTGTCTGCCCGTAAGCACATTACAAAGCGACTTTGTGTGACGGGTTATTATCAATAAGCCAGAGGATAAATCCCCTGAATTCTGCTTGACAAATATTATGTTAGTCACTGTTTTCCTGATTTTTGGTGTGTATTTATTTCATTATTATGCTAATGTTCAAAGTAGTAGATACAATAACTGAAAATGATCATCTGAACAGTTCACTTGAACTGCAAATGTACATAGACATTTCCTTTTTTCTTTTTACAAAATGTGGTGGTTTTCTTAAATAAGAATATAAAAGTAAGTTGAGCGCATTTTTGTAGTATGTACTTGTGGAAACACAGAATTTAATTTATAGCCAAGAAAACTCGTAAGTGCATGCAACTGTAGTTCCAAGTGTATCTAACCTTCAGTCAGAGGCCTAATGCAGTTATTTTTGTCCACATCGCTAAAAATGCAAAACGCCTTTTCTTGCAGATTTTAAAAAATATGGTACTTTTATATCCCATTTTGATATTTCCCCTTCATTTTGAAGACATACTTTATGAGCATGAATCAAATTCAGTTAATTTATGGTATTGTCTGAATGATCTGAATACTTATCTAAATAATGTGTATGATTTGATTGCTTTTAAAATACATTATTTTAATAATGAACCAAGTTTGGTTTTTTTTTAAACTGAGATCTACAAAATAGAAAATAAGGTGATGACACAAGTCTGCACGTTTTCGGAAGTTTTCTGTTTTCACCCATCCTGTGTAACTATCTTACACCATCTAGTGGTGAACATTGGATGAGTAAAAATAAAAATGCAAGCTGATAAATCTTTTTAGGTTTTATAAATTGTGTTGTGGCCTTTTTGAAAATGAACTTTTCAACAATCATTCCTGACATTTAGAGTTGAGTGGGACTTCTACAATAATCTCTTTAAAACCCCATGAAAACAACGAATGAGTAAAAAGAGAACTGCATCTACATTTACCACAGTTTTACTGCCAGCCCAAGTGTTACCATCTTCTGTCTTCTGTTTCCCATCCTTCTTAGCCTTTATGGCATAATATATTTATCACTCCTGCTACATTAGCCCCTTTGTTTCAAACTGTGATGATGCTTTGACAAAACGGTGGTAGAATTCATCTCACATTGACAAACTCTGAAAATGGATAGATCACTGGAAAACCCCAGGAAATTCAGTTAACTGAATGCTGTAGTCTTACTTGTGGCAGTGCAGGGTTGGGGGGAGGAAGGGGAGCTACGGAAGTGTTGCTGGATCAGAGATCAAGGTCTTCTACTTAAAAATACAACAATACAAGCAAAATCACGATTTTTTAAAAAATATTTTTCCTATTTTCTAAAAATAGTGGTCAGAAAGAGTACAACAGGGTTTTTTTTCTCTGATTTGCAGGAAGAACATTGTAGGCAGAGAGAATAGCTTTTATTAGACAATGAATACAGCTTTCCCGGCATCTTCAGGCCACTGTGGAGACAATACTATTATAATGCAAACATAAGCATGAATTAATCTGTGTCCTGACCTATCTCTATTTGCTGACCTGCAGGGAAGATTAGATGTTTTACTTCACCCAGTGCTGGGATGAATCTTAAAACACAGCAGTTTTCTAGAATACACTGCCAGTAGTTCGCTCTTGTTATTTTAGGAAGGAAGTCAGTTCAAGTACCTTTTTGTGTAAATAGTGAGCTCACAGAAATTATTGTATGCAAATCGAATAATAAATATTAGTTAGTTTATTGTTGGTGTCCGTATTCTTCAGAGAAGCTTGATGAGTTGCATGATACAAATATGCTTTGATATGGCCAAATTCAATGTGTCCATACTTCAAAGAAAGGAATTGTATTCAGTGAAGTACTGACAAAGGAACAGGTAATTATGCAGTTCTGCAAAACAAATAGAAAAGATTTGTAAGTGGGCAGATGGCGAAGTAGTAGTAGTGTTTGGGTCTCAACAATGATCTGTTCATGTGGAACATCATTGGTAGCTCTGATCCTGTAACGCTAAAGAGGACAGGAATTTAGTAAGTAAGAGAAAGCTTTCTGATCTTGTTAGGCTTTGTAAAAGGGTATTTTATAGGAGGAAATTAAAGGAACTTGACCTGTTTTAGCTCAGTGAAAAAGTCTTTGGGAAGTCGAAGGTGGTGAAGCAGTGGAACAGGTTGCCCATAGAGGTGGTGGAGGCCCCATCCCTGGCAACATTCCAGGTCAGGTTGGACGGGGCTCTGAGCACCCTGATCTGGTTAAAGCTGTCCCTGCTCACTGCAGGGGGGTTGGGCTGGATGAGCTCTAAAGGTCCCTTCCAACCCAAAGCATTCTATGATTCTAAGATAAATGAAGTTGCTGCCCATAAGGAATAAATCATGGATATAATTGAGGAGGAAGGTAAAGAGCTGGTTAAGCTATAGGGCAATATTGAAGTAAGAACAATGGGTATGAACAAACTTTACCCATTGGACTCAAAGTGGAACTTAGAATGTTTCTAATCATTAGATGAATCCAATTATTGACTAACTTTCCAGTGACAACAATAGTTAAACTACTATAGTGGGATGAAACATGGTACATTTCTAGAGTGTGGTGTTGCCTGCAGTAGCAGAGGAGAAAGCTTAGCAGCACAGGGACCCCTTCTCATCGGATGTTTCCACTGCAGTGTGGAACACATCCCGTACTTCTATTAATACTCCTTGTGGACTTTACCCGTAAAAATACCCTCGCCCTCAGGCCAGTCAGTGGCACTGGGTACTGGCCTGTACCCTCTAGACAGGCCAGCTGCATTGCATGCCAGGCTCCTCAAGGGGTGGACCCCAGAGAAAGCTATCCTGCCTCTTGTGTCCGTGGCTCTTGTTGAAGGGGACTTGCTCAGAAGGGAGGAAACCAATACGTGCAGGGCATGAAACAGTCAGCTAAACTGACACCTTCATTTTATTTAATTCTTCAGGGAGTAGGACTTAAATGTAGTCAGTGCTACCTACACCCAGAGATGGTGGGGTATTGATGAGGTTTTTTACTGTAGGTGTAACAAAATCAAGAAGCCTGCAGCTGAAGGATTAAAGTGGAAGTAAGACACATTTTTAACACCTATTGTAATTCAGGTTGTTCTAGCTTATCAACGAAAGTGGTAAACCCCATCACATAGAGTCTTTATACCAGGATTGCCTGTCTCTCTAAAATATGTGCTCTAACTCATCTATGGATTTATTGAGTTAAATACAGGAATCTCTAGACAGAATCCTCTGGCCCGCATTATCTGGGAGGTCAGATTCACAGATCTTAATACTCTCTCTTGGCCTTAAAAACCTATGAATCAAGTAAAAATCTGAATGCTCAAAAGCACTGCGAATTTTTAGTCTTACTGCTTTGCATTTTGCTTAGTACTGGAACAGCTTGCGTTATGAGGTAGCATGTTACAAAAGAAGCTATTCACATGTTTAATTCCCTGTGCTCTGAAGATGTGATGGTTGCCGCAGACTGAAATACAGAGTTATTTGGAACAAAAATAATCAAAAAATTGGTGACTTCAGAGTGTAGAAAAAACAAACTTTTTTTCTGAAGGCTTCAGAAGGTGACTGTATCTCAGCTTTTCATTTTTTATAGTCATCTTAGTACTCAATCCTTTTCAGATTTGGATACTACTCGGCAAAATGGTCATCGTGTAGTAAAGAGTAGAATATTTAAGTTCAGTAGTGTTTTAATAACAACTACTGTTGATCCTGGTTTATATCTTAATGCAATTACAGTATCTTTGTTTTGGGGGTTTGGTTTTTTAACTTTCATTAAAAACTTTTCCATGCTGAGGTATCTTGGTGTACTTGAAGGACCAAAGCTTCTCAGTAGAAAAACAAGGTTTAGGCTTGATTTTTGTTGTTGTTGTTTTATTTTTACTGAAAGTACTGAACACGTATAACTTGGATTTTCAACAGTAGGAATTATGAATGCTTATCATTCTGTAAGTTAGGCTTGTATGAGAATCTCAATTTTGATTCAGTGGACGTTGCTTTTACCATAATGTGATCCTGCAGAATTCACGATCACCAGACAGAGAAGGACCTAGCCAGTCAAGCACAGTTTTCCTAATCCAGCTGGGAGGAGAGAGCTGTGTGCGAGATCTGTGCTTATACAGGCTACTCTCTCTTCCAGGGCACTTACTAGCATCAGTGAAGCTAGGGGCGAGCTTGACAAGGGGAAGATTTTCACCTCAGTTTCTGTCTGACTTGCAGTGGTGAATTTAGTATTACACACTGTCTCCTATAAAAGAGCTCTGACTTTGTCAGATCTGCTTTGTGGTAATAAACTACAGGGCCATGTAGTCAGCTGGAGGTCTAGGTGTAAAAACTGGATGTTGTAGAATGTGCTCTTATGAGTAAACAGAAAAAACCCTACCTTTATAACTTGTCATAATCTTTTATCTTATTTTGAGGTGAATATTCTTGAGTATATTCTAGTAAACTTCAAACATATACATCACTTACTAGAATGTTTTGCAGTTCAATTTTACGGTTACAGCACACAGAATTAAAGTTTACCAAGATGATGAAAATTGTTATGTTTATAGGTGGTTGAGCTGAAGCCAGGTGGAAAAGATATTCCTGTTACCAGCGCTAACCGAATCGCGTACATCCATCTCGTGGCAGACTACAGGTTAAACAAACAAATTCGACAGCATTGCCTTGCTTTCCGTCAGGGACTGGCCAATGTTGTGAATCTTGAATGGCTTCGAATGTTCGATCAACAGGAAATACAGGTACTTCTGCTTAAAACTGCAGAAAACAATTGCTTTAAACAGAAGTAAATGCTAATTTTTGCCTGCAATGTAACTGTCTAATTCCCTTCACTATTAGGTTCTGATTTCTGGTGCCCAGGTTCCTATTAGTTTGGATGACCTTAAATCTTTCACAAACTATTCCGGTAAGTATATTTTACTTAAATACAAAAATTTATTATGACTGACTCAGGAATAAATAAACTTGCTTTTTAACCTAGTTTAAAAAAAAATAAAAGGCAGTTTTAGGGTCATCCTTGTTAACTTTGGCCAAACGCTCTAGAAAGGCCTGAATTTCTGAAGATTGGGTAAAATTATAACCTAATTTTATGAATGCTGGGAGATACAGGTATGCAGTTTATTTTATTCGTACACATAGATACAAGTTTATAGCCAGATAATTAGAGGACGTGTAATTCCTTTTCTAAATGGATGTTCGTCGATACTGTCTGGTTGCCCTGAAAATAAGTCTGCAAATGACTTTGGGATGGTTTCTACCACTGCATTCAGATACGTACCATTTCTCAGACAGCCTGAAGAGAGAGCTCATATTTTTTCCTTGTGAGGAATGCAAGGTATCTTACTTCATTTTTCCCTGCATTTATCATGAATGTAATCAAAAAGTAACTGCTGTATCATCAGTTCACATCCGAGCTTACCTCAAGGTAAGTTGATTCATTAAATAACATCCCGAGTCTTGCAGATTTTGCAAACTCTTGGAGTAAAAGGCAGTAATCCAAAGTTACTAGGTAAATTCTAAACTAAATAAAATTAATTTAAAATAAACAAAGGATTCATTGAAGAAAACTGCAGTTAAGAAGCTGAGGGAGGTAGTAACCATAGGTAAGCAATGAATAAGAAATTGAAAATGCAGTGATCAAAGAGATCTATAGCTACTGGAAGCCTGAAGTGTAAGCCTACTGGTTTTAATATTTTGCACCAAGCTTTTCAAGATTGATGCTAGGTTTTCTGAAGAATGTAGTTCTTACATAAAACTATTCTACCTATAAATCATTTAAATCTCATTATAGGTGGCTACACAGCAGACCATCCTGTAATTAAAATATTCTGGAGAGTTGTGGAAAGCTTCACGGATGAAGAGAAACGCAAACTACTCAAGTTTGTAACAAGCTGCTCTCGACCGCCTCTTCTGGGGTTTAAGGTATATGTCTTCCCGACTTCGTGGCAAGTTTCTGTAAATACTACAGATTATGATACAAGCTTTTCTTTTCTGTAGGCATTTACGGTTTGAGAAGAATGTTCCTCTGGGACTACAGAAACAGCTTCAATGTTTGCACTTGTGTGTATAACGAGTATAGTTTTAAAATAGTTCATGAAACGTTGTTCTGGTTTTTTTCTATTTTAACTACAAAATTTGATAAGCCTAAAAACACATTGGTTAGAGCACTTAGTCTTTGTCATGGAAGATCCTTGCTGCCATTTCATGTTACTGTACAGAAGCAGTATTGCTACCAGTTTCAAGGAACAGACTGAGTTATGAAGAATGTCTTTTAAATCAGGCAAAAGAGGATTTAGGCTATAAAAGCAGCTATTAAATTTGAACCTCTTAAATTAACCATTTGAAGCAGGAGATGTATTGTGTTTCCTTCTAATTTCCATTTATCTGCTTATAGGGTCACAGCTCTTTACCCTTTGTATCTAAATACTTTGTTGCTATCTTTAGGTTGTTATTTACAGTGAAGCTTAAGTATGAATAAAACCTTCATCTACAGCTTATAAAACTAAAGAGAGGCTCAGGCAAGTTGAAGACATTCTGAAACTAAATTCTGGGGATATTCTACCCATGAGTTTCAGCTGGGCTGCAAAATTCTGGCTAAGAACCAGCCATGGACTTGATTTCTTCTGAAATGTGGGAACATTCAATGCTTTTCTGTAAGAAAATAGAATAATAAATTGCTTCATAGCAAACATGATGACCTTTAGTACCGTGATCAACAGCGTGTTTACTGTTGTACTGTTTAGTAAAACTAATACAAAGGTGGGCTTATATGGAACGAAGATAGGCATTGCATCATCCAGTTCCTTACAAGCAAGAATAAGATTTTTTGCTAAACAAAATTCAAGTACATGTACTTAGTAAATTTTCACATTATAAGGTTCTCTGCTACGATATTTAATTAGCAGAGGATAGTAACTAATTTCCTACGTTTATTAGGTTAAATAGGTAGATGAACCTATAAGAAATGAATGCAGGTATTGTGTAAGTCTTGAAGGTTTATTGGCTGTTTTGTAAAATAAGTGGTGTTGAATGAACATTTTCTAATTAGAGAAATACTTCAGGGACAGATACTGACATTTTATATAAGAACAAGGAATTCAGATATACAGAATAGTCTGGAGGTGGAAACAACATACTTGGAATTTTGCACAATTTTTTCTTGATTCATACTGTGAAAGTTCATTTTAGTGGGGTTTTTTTGTTTTCTTTTAATTAGCATTTAAAAAAATACTTGAGAGGCAAATGCTAGAAGAATTTCTTCTCAGCTGTAGGAATTGGGCCCTTTCCTGTCACATGTCCTGGGGGTGACACATGATAAAGATATCAGAAGTAAAAAATGAAACAAAACATCCCACCTTCCTCTTCCACACACACAACTTAGATGTTTGTAGTACTTACCACTGTTTTTCTCTTACTGAATTAAACAAAATTCATTCTAGAATTTTCAAACATTTGATGATTTACTTTTTTCATAAATACAGTTTTCCTCTGGAAAACAAACAAGAAAACACTCCAGTATTGAAATCACAGTGGTCTCACTCACAGACCTCTGACACTTGAATGATTTAAAATACATGAAAGCATATGTGGGCTGTCATACAGGAGTATGTGGATCAGTTGCTAGAGGTGATGAAAGAATAGTCCCAGTAGTTTAAACAGCTTTTTTTTTTTTTTTTTTTCCTTAGGCTGCAGAGTGATTTTTTGAAGTGGAAGAGTTGTTTCTAGTGCCACATTCTGCAGGGAAGCGTGGCTCTTTGCCCTTGACTTCCATCTGTCCCTTTATGCTGCAACTTCACGTTCTCTTCTGTCTTCAATCCTTTTATTTATTTTTCTGTTTCTTTATAAGCTGATACGGGTACACAGCACTGCCATTGCAGCATGTGATCATTTAAACCTCCTTTTGCTACAATTGTTCTGTAAACCTCTGTGCAGTCTCACCCTCCGCGTAATCCCTTCAGCTGCTGTAGCAAGTGCTGTGTGGTGCTGTTAGCACATGGATAGGCAACTGTCCTGGTTTCGGCTGGCATAGAGTTAATTTTCTTCCTAGCAGCAGGCATAGTGCTGTGTTTTGGATTTAGTAGGAGAAGAATGTTGATAACATGCTGATGTTTTTAGTTGTTGCTGAGTACTGCTTATGCTAGTCAAGGACTTTTTCAGCTTCCCATGCCCTGCCAGGTGCACAAGAAACTGGGAGGGGGCACAGCCAGAATAGTTGATCCAAACTGGCCAAAGGGCTATTCCATACCATATGGCGTCATGCCCAGTATAGAAACTGGGGGTGGGGGGTTGGCCGGGGGCAGCAATTGCTGCTTGGGAACTGTCTGGGTATCGGTCGGCGGGTGGTGAGCAATTGCATTGTGCATCACTTGCTTCGTGTATCATTATTATTATTATCATTATTATACTGTTACCATTAGCATTACTATTTTACTTTATTTCAATTATTAAACTGTTCTTCTCTCAACCTAGGAGTGTTTCTCACTCTTACTCCTCCGATTCTCTCCCCCATCCCATCGGGGTAGGGGGAGTGAGCGAGCGGCTGCGTGGTGCTGAGTTGCTGGCTGGGGCTAAACCACAACAGCAACGTATCCTCCAACTTACGTATCTGTAATCTATAGCTCAGCTACGCTCCTTTTATAGGCGCCTAGGAGAGGAAGGAACACTTTCAGTTGGTAATTTGTCTGACACTTCTATGTGTCTTCCTGTAGGATGAAATGAATGATGTCTTAGATTCCACAAAACATACTAGCTAGATCCCCTTTAACAGTAAAGAGAGCCTGGGGTGCCTGGATTTGGATATGGAGACAGCGGAGATGGCTGGTTAATCACAGGAATCCTATCTAGGGTATTTATTGATTGATTTGCATGATTGGTTATTTAAAAGCCTGCAAGCATTTCTCTTCAACTCTTCAAGTCTGTGTGAATGTCACTGTACAGTACTCTAGCAACAAACAGGATTTTATAGGACAGTGGGAAGAACAATTAAAAAACTGCGGGATGAGACTAAGATAGAACAGTTCATGTCAGTCATGTAACGAAGGGAGAATTGGGAAACAAAGTAAAGAGAAGCCTCTGTTTGTTGTCATCCTGTTTAATTACAAGGAGAGAGCAGGAAATGCAGATGTAGCTACCCAGCTTTGAGGTAGCCAGCGTGACATTTGAAGAGATGGAGGAAGTGAATCAAAAGTCCAAAAATACTAAGGCTGACAGTGACACATTAGAACCAGGATGTAGCGAAGCCAATGTGGAAAGTTAAAGTTTGTGTGTGTACTTGGGAGGTAGGCCACAACCTGACTTTAACATACTTAGCTAGGAAAAAATGGAAGTAAAATAGTCATCAGTTGATCAGCATGATAGCAATAAGTTAAAAGATTAATTCACTGTACAACGGAGTTGCAAGCTCAGCCACATGCAACAGTCTTGGCAACAGAAAGCAGAGTGAAAAGGCATTGCTGCTGCTTCGCTGGGCAGCACTGAGCGGGAGTTAGGTCAATACTTGTGTGGTGCTTGCAGTAGCGTCTCATTAACACGGATTTACCAACAAACCAGGGTTTTGCCAGGAAGTGTTTACCAGAAAAGGAAGTGGGTAACTGGTATTGTCATCAGCAGTAATGTCTTGGTAGCCTATGATAAGTGTATTGTTTAGAGCTTTGAAAGTGAAGAGTGCGAAGCTGCAGGAGTTCTGAATATAACCAGCCAAACAACTGCCTGACTATATTTGTGTTGATGGTAGACATTAACACAAACTGCCTTCAAAATTTTTTTGCAGTTTTAATATGGGTACTACATTTTTCTGAGAGAAACACAATTTCTGGTTCTCACTGTGAAATCTTCTGTATGCTTTATATTGTGGAACCTTCAGTTTCTTAAAGTTAGTGCATGTTAATTTAAGATAGGAAATATCTTGACCTTCATAGCTTATAGGTAGCACAGTCTAGCTTTGTATCATTTAAAAATTTTAAACTCTCACTGCCAGATACAGACTCAGAATAACATTTACTAAAGCTAATTAAAGTTTAATAAGTTTAATAAATGTGATTGTTACGGACTAAAAAAAAAAAAATCATTAAAGCATGGTTGAAAACTGTTAAGTTCCAATCAGGTCACATAATAAATTGATGATACTTTTCACTTCCAAACTATTGCAGTTTCCTGCTGTACAGTATTTAATTATGCAACAAATGGTGCCCTTGGCATGACATTTCAATTTAGAACTTCATTTTTCCATTTTTAAAGCTAAAGTAGGGGAATTCAATTAGCATTTTGAAAGGAACACTAAAAATGCAGCATTTTAGCCGTGAAATACTTTTAAGGCCTCCATTTGAACAATAATTTAGCTTAGAATCTCATTGACCTTTTGCCTTTGGAGCTGGGATTTTTTTTTTCCAGTTTCTAAAATCAGAACTGTTTTACCTCAGGCAAGCATTTGATAAAATGAATACTTTCTTGCCAGCAAAAGCAGTGCTTTAGAGGTAACAAATAAATGTATTTTTCACTACACTGTTTCTCAGGAGAAAAAAAATTGGATATTATTAAAATAAATATTACACACAAAATGCCTTTAAAGTCTGTTCCTCAGATCGATAGTTATCACATCAGAAGAATAATCAGGGTTTGACCAGTTTATATCATTAGACACTATGCACGTCAGTATCATCCCTATAACAGCTGAGTGACTTTATAATCACTCTGTGAAGAAACAGTGTAATTGCTTTAAATAAAGTTAGATGTTTATTTGGAGGATATAAAGTACCTCTTGATTGAGCGCTCTGGACCATGGTAGTGTAAATACTTGCTTAATCTTACACATGAACAGATCCACCAAAGTCATTAGTAGTGTTCATCTTGAAATTCATAAATTGTAGGCTTGCTGAAAGATTAGTTCAGACAGAAGTCCCTTTAGGGCAAGAAATGCCTTTAGCATTGAATCAGACAATTGATTTTAACAAAGAAAAATCATGTATATTGTGGTGAGTAGAAGGAAAACGATGGCTTGATACTCATCCACTTGAATTTATTTTATATATCTGGGGTATGCTAACAAACTAAAGCTCTAGAAGGAAAAGACTGAAAGGGTATGTTTGATTATGGTTTGTTTATTTGTTTGGAATTTTTTATGTCACAAAGAAATTGATGTAGTACTATAACTTTTATCAAATTTGTTCTTAGATCCGGTCACTCATTCATCCTCTTTCACCTCAGAGCATCACTTTAACATGACAAGTACATGCTCGTGTAGAATTTGCATAAAGTTGGAATACTTTTAACAGAAGAATGTTGTAACTGGCGTAGCACATCACTTCATTAGCTAGACCAAAATTGCCTTTGTTGGGATCTTTGTGTATACAGAAACAATGCCTTCCCTGCCTGGAAAGCAAAAAAACAGAAAGTATAATTCTCAGAAGAAGCCATGTCATTATACAGTGACAAATATTATATGTCACTGAAACACGACAGAACATCCTTTTCCATTTACCTCCATTACCGCTAGCAGTCTATTGTTCCCTGTGTTCAGCATGTATTTCACTGTCAGAAAACTTCAGTGTAGCAGGAACCCATCATTTTCCTGTTTCTAAAGAATTAACAGCATCCATGGGCATTTGGGAGGCTTTGTAAGAGAGTCTGAAGTTGTGAATCCTGGTCGTTTCTCCCAAATACAACAACAAATTTCTTGCATGCTGCTGTATTACTTTTTCCATTTCATGTTTCACTGTTTTTGTAGCATCATAAATTTGCAGAATAGAGTTCATACTGTGTATGAACAGTAAGAAATTATTATTTTTTTCCTTAGAACCAAATAAGTTGCTTTGTGTTTTGCAAATTAATGGATCTTGGTGGGGACAAGGTAGAGGGAGGTGATACACAATTCAAGAGTGCTTTTGGGGTCACCAGGAATGAAAGAAAATGCCATATGAGTATGCCATTGTGACAGGTTTTAACCTAATGATTTATTTCCTAGAAATCTGTGCCAGCTGTTATGAGGTAGGTTTTGGCTTGTATGTATTTTTTAATATGTTTTTTTCTGTTGGATTTTTCAGGAGTTATATCCTGCATTTTGCATTCACAATGGAGGATCTGATTTAGACAGGCTACCTACTGCCAGTACCTGCATGAACTTGCTGAAGCTTCCTGAATTTTATGACGAAAATCTTATGCGAAGCAAGCTTCTTTATGCCATTGAATGTGCTGCTGGATTTGAATTGAGCTGAGTCGAACTGATGCTTATTTGGATGATCTGCAGAGGAACTAACCAGTGCCTACTCTATAAGCAGCACCCATACCCAAGCAGTTTTAAGGGAATTCTGTCTAGATTTCTGCAGCTCTTGTGTCTTATCAAATGCCCTCAAATAGGTTTCATTTTTAAACGCGATTTCTTAGTTAGCTTTCATTAATTAATATTACATTGACACTGCTTTATGATTCAAAAACAATGAATGCTGTGTGCAGTGTGGGTGTTTTCTGTGTTTATGCGAAGAAAGAGCACATTTAAAGGACAGTGACATCTCAGTGAAATTAACCAAAGATGAAGCTTTGGCTTTGTGCTGTTCAAACATAAATAATTTCACAAACTGGCAATAAAGTTGTGTACCATGCAGCGCATTGGGATGAGACAGGGTTAACATCCTGTAATTAATCTTTTAGATGGAAGTGAAGCAGATGTTTGCAGATATCCCAGAACTGAGGGGATGAAAATGCTCATTACCAATAACCTAACATCTTTACTTATGTTGTAGAATTGTTTACAAATCACAGTTGTTGCAGAACTATTTTGTTTTATACTACCTTCCCTCAAGATGGTAGGCACTGAGAAAAAACATTTATAATATTCCATTTGTGTTTTCTGAAATACCTTGGAGAAATCGGATTTGCATTATTTTAAGTTCAACCTTTGGCTGCGTCATTATCACTTGAACAGTCGTGAATGGATGTGACTATCCATGTTTTCTCTGTTCTGTTTCTGTCTTGTGCCTGTACAGATTTTTTTTTTTTTTAAATGTATCGGACTCCTATTGCATACACAATACATACAAAAGTCATCACTTTGGAAAAATATACATGTAACAACTATTAAAATTATTTGAACCAAAGTTATCAGGCTTTATCTTTTATATTTGAAGCCTGTGGTGTTCACATTCCTTTTCCCTATCATTTCTTTCCATCTTAAATACCATATCTGTGCAGTAGACATTAGTCAAATTCATTATTTTTTTGGTGATTAAACAGCTTTTATAATCCATCTGCCTGCAGTATTTCTGCTAAGATAAGTAGGTGGGAATATGCTGCTTAATATAATTTGATATCTGGGAAAAAATTTGCTTTCATATGGAAGGAGCTGATCCTCTAGTAGTAGGCACATCGTTGGGTGTTTGTGTGCAAACTGCAGTGAATTTAAAAAAGGAATTATAGTTCAAACTGTAAGACTCATAAGTGCATCCCTCTGAACTTTAGTTTTATATTTGACATCATCAGAATTTACAATCAAATTTGTATTCATCTCTTATGCAAAAAAAAAAATATTTTGCTGTTACTGGAAGCTCTGTTGGATTTCATATTTAATAAGCAGTAACCAGCAATATCCTTCTAAATGTGGGGAAACTGAGTGATTTTAAGATGTTTACTAGTAACCATATAAAAATGTATAATTTCTTAATTTGGGTAATAAATGAAGTGTTAAAATACTATTTGTAGTCTTGATGTACAGAAATAAAATGATTGGTTTTCTTTTTGGTTTTGCTTTAGGCTTTTTATTTATGTTAAATGTTACATACCCAACCTATTCTTTATCCCAAAATTCTTTTCTTGTATATTTTTCTACATAAATTATGGAACTTGTAAAGAAGTTGAAAAAGAGATCAGTAATGGTGGAACTGCCTTCTCCTAGTCGCAAAACCTGGGCACTTCTTTTAGATAGCATTATTTATTTTAGAACCTAATGCTTTAAATATTTTGAAATTATTTCTCAGTTCCATTATTTTGCTACATTGGGTAGTGTTGTATCTGTATTTTGTAAAACTAAATTTAAATTTTCTATAAATATTTGTATTTTGAAGATTGTGTTGGAGTCATGCCAAGTAATCATGACTGGTAATGTATGCTTTCTGCTTTTGTAAAAGGAGACAGTGCACACTATTCCTGTCTGGTGCCGTGAAGGCAAGTTCAACAGAGACGGTAGGCTGGGGGGAAGCATGAGTTGCAGATAGGTGTAGTCATGTAACTGCAAGAATCACACAGCTGCAGAAAACTTCAGTAGAAAATTTGAGTTTGCTGAGTTTATTTCTTTAGTACTCGGTGATCTTGTTTTATATATTCTGTACATTAAGTATGAAATTCTGACATACTCAAGTCAGTGGGATTGTAGCCTAGATTTCATTCTGCAGGTAGTCAGTTGAAAATCTGTGCTGCAACAGCTTACACCACCTTCAGTATCCAGACTGCAATAAGAAGAGGGTAGGGCTTTCCTTTGGCGATGAGTGCTTTCAATTCTGACTGTCAACTGTTTCTGTATAGTCAGGATGAAGCATGAGTCCCTGCTTTTCAATGATATATTGCTGGATATTTTAGACAACAGGAGATAAAGGTATGAGAAGTAATATAGGTATAGTTAGTCACGTCCTGAGGAGCTAGGTGGTCTAAATGACCTCTCGTAGCTCTTACGTAGCAAGAACTGTTTATATATGAAAATGGATTTTCTGTTTTTTAAAAGAGCGAACTCTCTCCCAGTTGTGATGCTCCCAGAGTTTAGGTAGGCAGAGGCAGGAAGCACTTTGCATGCAAGTAACCCGAAATATTATTGTAGATTTTGATCATCAGAATTATAGCAGTAATAATTACGGGTTTGGAGTTGTTTTCTGTGCAAGACAACCCTTCCTTAAAGTCAATTTCTGTACTTCAGTGTTTTGTCCTCCTAGTTCAGTACTTGCTTTTTCAAAAATGACAGCATTTTCTGTTAGGTTTTTGGTTTCAAATAATTTTTGTTTCATAATTTTGTAACCTGTTTTAAAAAACATTTTTGTCAAGGTTTATCTTTATGATGGAAGAGGTCGCAAATTCTTCATCTCTCCAAAGTTAAAAGGCATAAAAGCGGCATAAAAAATAAAATTAGCACTTGGTCTGTTTATCTTGGTGAGAATTTTTCCAGATGTGGGTTTAGTCCTACTAGCTCGATTAAAAAAAAAACAAAACAAAACCAAAACAAAACTAACCAAACGAGAAATGATTGGCCTTGTTCCTTAATCTCAGTTCTCTTCCATCATGGTCCTGAAAGCCAGACTTGTATAATTCTAGGGGGAATTTATGTCTACAAAAGGGGCAAGATTTGGCTCCAGTTTCATGTGTAAACACTGAGCTGACAGAATTTTGATTTGAATAAGGATATCTTCAATTACCTTTGTGTGGGGTGCTCCATAATTAAAAAAAAAAAAAAAGAGCTTCCCGATGCTATTAGTAGCAATGTGGACAGGTGTTTTTTGCATCATTTGAGTAATCTAGCACAAACATCCTAATTTGATCTGTAAAGGCATTTGGAATTCAAAGAAGACACTTTGGGTGCAGTGAGCTCATGCTAAATTTCAGTTTAAACCAAAACTATTTGTTAAATGCCAGTGAGACAGCACATGCTCTTTTCACCACTGAAAAATAGTACAGCACAGAAACAAAAAGGAAAAAACAAGAGAGCTGTTTTTCTTGGAATGTTTTGTTGGAGCTGTAATTTTTTTTTTGTATTTATAATTACATGCAAAAACTTTAGAACATTTGCTCATATACCTGAATCTGTGTTAATAATGGTTTGTGATGTAAATGCTTGTTAGTATTTTTTTTTTCACGATGCTTTACCTGTCAGTGAAGGAGAGAAGAAATGAACATGGTCTGTAAAACTGATCAGGATATCTATATTTTTATTGACTTCTGCTTTTGTGAATAAAATAATTTGAGTTTTCTTGAACCTTTGCAGAAACATTCCTTTCTTACTTTTTTTTTTTTTCCCAGTAAATTTGGCATTCTCTTGCTGACAATTGAGAGTACTGAATAGGTTCTAAAAGGGAAGCTAATATTAACTGTTTGTTGGTCTTGAAGTTACTACTGTTGGAAGAGGCTGCCCAGGGGAGTGGTTTGAGTCCCCATCCCTGGAGGGATTTAAAAGCCGTGTAGATGTGGTGCTTGGGGACATGGTTTAGTGGTGGACTTGGCAGTGCTCGGTTAACGGCTGGACTCTATGATCTTAAAGATCTTTTCCAACCTAAACAATTCTACGGCTTCTGGATGATTTCTAATTTCGGTTTTTTGAGCTGTGAAGTTCCCACTCTATCAGTCAAACTGCAACTATGAGGTTTAGCTTCGTTTCAGTGTGTCTTGCAAAACGTAGCTGAGATCATCTGATGGGCTTTAAAAAAACTTCTTCAGAATCTTTGGAAAGAACAAAACTCCCTCCTTGGATAAAAATGAGAAGCTGTAACTCATAGTGATGAATGCTACTCTTGTCAGAAAACATGTACAAAACCATCTCTTCCGGCTTCTGGAATTTTGGCACATGTATGGGCCCCTCTGAAGGTCTAATTTAATTTTTATCTCCTTTGATAATTACAGTTATCTGCTTCCCTTTACTTTTCATTCCACGATAGCATAAAGTTAGTATTGTGCATGTTTATTTTGGAATGCTTACAAATTTCACCATGTATTCTTCAGCTTGCCTACCACTAAAACTCCTTTTGTGGGGCGCTTCATAATTCATAGCATGAATAGAACACAAATGCCCAGATACCTTTCCTGTTTTTCAGTATGCATCTGGTAGTCTGGAAAGCTCATAAGTTTCTGATGTGTGTAGAGAGACAACACAAGGCAGAAAATGATTATGAAGTTATACCAGTGGAATCCATTTTGAAGAACAGAAGAGTGGTTGATGTCAGCAGGAGTGGCTGAGATCACCTGGTCCAGCCCCTCTGCTCACAGCAGGGTCACCTACAGAGGTTGCTCAGGACCTTGCCCCGTGGAGTTTTGAATGTCTCCATGGATGGAGACTCCACAGCTTCTCTGGGCAACCTGTTCCAGTGTGCAATTACCTTAACAATAAAACATTTTTAATCGGGTTTAAACACAAGTTCCTGTATTCCAGTTTGTGCCCGTTGCCTCTTGTCCTGTCACTGGGCAGTACTAAGAGGAATCAGCCTTCTCCAGGCTGAACAACCCCTGGCTCTCTCAGCCTCTCGTCATACGACACGTGCTCAAAAACCTTAAATCATCTTTCTCTCCGACTTGCTTGTAGTGAACACAGCAGCATCTTCAAAATACCTTTTGTGGACTTTGATGTGACTGAGGACTGAGTAGACTACACTAATTTCTTTGTCAGATGCCTGTAGATGTCTGTAGTCGCTAATAAATGGCACTTACCAGGTAAGGTCGGATTTAAGATTTTGTGGCTTCGCTTTTTCAACTTCCAGTGCTGCTTTGCCTTTTCAAGGATTTTGCAAATCTGTTACCAACTGCAAAATAACAGACCCAGTAAAAATAGAGGTCTCGACTATTTCACAACTTTTTGTAGATACGATGCTAAACATTAATGCAAAAAACATAGGACTAATGCTAAATATTACATCACCAAAATGTGTAATCACTTCTGTCACCAACAGTATCAAACATCTGGAAGTGCAACTTCTTGGACAAACTTCTGTAATGTGGCTGTCTTCTACAAAGGTTGGGTAGCCCAGGGCTTGGTGCAATCTGGCAGAGCATGTCAGACAGTTAAACAGGAAAAACATGGGAATTCTGACTGGCACCGGTGGGACTGCTGGTACATAAAGAAAGGCATGCACAGACGTCCTGCAGGCTTGATTTCACGCTGTCAAGGGATGAACTTTTCTTGTGTGATGGTTAAATCATTGCCGTATTTCATTGCCAGAAGAGTTGCTCTCCAGTCTGGGACTAAGTTTACCTGTCCACAGTGCTGTAGAAAACACATGCTGTTTGCAGTGTTAATGTATTTATAGGAACAGCTTGCTCAAATGTCCTACTATATTTAAGGTAATTCTTTTCTGCGTTCCCAGAGCAGCTGTTCGTTCATTCTGTGTAACATTTGACTGAAAAACAGTT